CCGGGAAAAAAAATCTGAAAAATAAGGCTTTGAAAGGGGAATGTATCAGTTTAATGTGCTGTTGAATGCAAGAGATCTATTTCAACTTGTAAACCTATGTAAAAATAAAGCATGAGAGACCTGACTGGTAACCTTTTAATGTTTTTAGAATGGTATTCACTAAAACATCTGTACTTCATTGTCATAAATGTCACAGCTGTGTGAAAACCTCATGTATATGGGCCATCAAGACAGAGAGGTGGGCAGCTCTGAACCAGTGAATCCCAGGAACTTGAGGTTTCTTACTGAGGTCTATTAAGGGTAATGTTTCTGAACACAGCTTCAACTTCCCATCATTATAGTAATAGACTTGCGATCCTACACAAGAATCCTTTTTCCAGCAGTTGCCACAATGATGACAAAAATCAATGCATGTAGGTGAGATGGAGACAGGTATTAGCATTAATGGATCTAGCTGGTGGACAAAAATATTCCATACAAGTCACATGAAGCTGAGCTTACTCGCAGAAAGGGGTAAAAGCAGAGTACATGAGGCTGAAAAATGAGCAGAGGGCGATGAATGACACGCATGTTGTTTTTCATTGGGAGATGCTGGCAGTATTTTCATTTTGCTTGCATGGAGTTTTGGAGCCTGTCTCATACCATATGGCATATTAAGCACAATAAAGATGTTCATTTGGCAGCTGGAGCATGACTAGGAACATCAGAAGAGTCATATATGCATCAATAAATGAAGAACTCTGCCTTCATGTAGATAAATGTTAGATCATCATTTTAATTGCCCATTGAGGTCTTGACAATGAGACAACCACTTTGTAGTCATGTCTGCAGGAGCATTTCCCACACTTTAGATGGGGAGCAAAGCTGAACTGCTTCATCTTTGCGCTTCTGCAGCACCTTGAACACCAGACATGAATGATTTTCCGAGCTCTCTGTAAATAGATAACGAACAATTGTGGCCACCCTGGAGAGCTGCAGCCTAATTAAACTCTTTAAGCTCTAACTCTGTGTGCGTAAGAGGGCAGGGGAGGTTTCAGTATGTGTGGACCCCGTCAGCAGGGCTGCAGTTCGATCCTGCCATACTACAGCTGAGCGATAGGAATCATGCCAGCTTTATGTTAATACTGATACCACCTATTTCCTTTTGCCTCCCATCTCCTAACTTCTCTCACACCTCATCTTTGCGTGGCCGGTGCAGAACATCACGATCACATCATCGTGGTGACGTAGCACATGATGTTCATGTCACTGATGTCTCCCATGGCCGTGGTTGCCAGGGCTTCTCTGTGGGGAGACGTTTCGGGTTATCTGCTCTGCTTCTGGTCTCTTCCCCCTGTGAACCATAGTACCTTTGATGCACACGTTCTCTATCCCGCTGACATGGATTTGGTAACCACTTCTGGGGTAATTAGGGATTGTTTTAATAAGAATCTAAGATCTTATTAGAAGAACTGCTTGTAACAGAATGTTTTATTTCTAATGAGAGACATCCATAATCTTCCTGAAATCTGGCACTTTTATAATTTAGATAGCTTCTCGATAGGACTCTGGGTTGTTTTCTGTTTCCTTCTCTGTGCTCGTTCATCTTGTTTTCAGAAGCTGTCAGTCCTGTACCCAAATTTCCTAGAGCCCCAGGGGAGACCGCAGGATGCAGCTCAGTAAAGTGGCTGTGTAGGGGGGCACAGTGGTTGGTTTTTGTCTTTTCATAGTTTTGTTTTTCCCTTGACTGAAGCCAAGGGGTAGGCCTAATGTTAATGCACAGGAAAATGATTGAATCTAAGACCTGTATGTCCAGAAGAGGCTTCAGGATGCCACCCATTCCGTTGTCTTGCTCTGAAGTAGGATCAGATACCGAGATTGATCCTGAGTGACTTTTGGATTAACCTTCTGTTTGATTAAACCTTGTTAAAATGCTGCAACGCCGGGTGTGCAGCGTGACCTTTGCAGTAAGCTACTTTTGTACAAGAAAGCTTTCTGTAATACCTCACTGGGCCTTTCCTTAACCCGCAGCACCAACCCTCCTGTAGTTGCTCACAGACGGGTTCGTTCATGTTTGATCTTGGTGGATGTGAGGAGTAGTTATTAACCACTTAAACTTTTACACAGGGATTTGTATATGGAATTTTTATTTGTTTAATTATTTGTTTAAGAGTGTCAGCAGTCTGCAAGCTTGTTTAGAAGCTACAAAATACAGTACCCCAGACCCATATTTATCCATTGGGATAAATATGGGCAAGCTGTGAAAGATGGAACTTCTCCAATGTCTCCTGGGTGCCTGAGGCACAAGTGTGGGGTAAGAGGGCAGAGAAACTTGGGCTGTGCTAGAGCCACCCTCCCAGAACTGTAAATTTTGGGTATCTGCTCTGGCATTTCCTCCAAAGTGATCTGAGTTTAGGGAAGCCCATGTTCCCAAAAGGGGTCATTGGAAGGGTGACTGGGAATGTAACTGGGATTTTGTGAGAAGTTTGCTAGTCTTTTAAATGCAGGAGGTATCACAGTTCTGATAAAGTTCAGATTTACCCCTAACTTCAGACTATTGATTTTATCTAAAGTTACACTTATTGTCAACTCTTAACAATTTACTTAGGTTTCTTCTCCATTGGCCCTTGGTCCGAGTAATCTTCACTGTTCTCTATCCATATGATCACTTCATCTCCTTCCACCCACTTCTAATTTCTCTCCTACCTATCAGTAGCTCTCAGAGCCTTTTCATTTTCTTTCCCTCTCCTTGCTATTAACCTTGTCAAATACTCTTGTTTCGGTGGTAGAATTGGGAATTGAAAGCCTCAGTGCTTTTGGATAAGATATGGTAAGAAAACAGTTTCCCACTTTCAAGCAACTTAACTTCTGCCCCAGGAAAAAATGCAGAGTTTCAGAAAACAGGGTGAGGGGATGAACAAAGCACAAAAGGCCTAGAAGTGCTGAAATCATAACTCCAAGTGAATACAAAATACAGACCCAAGCACATGTGCTGATCATGTGTGTCCATTCTGCATGAGCTCTGCACCCAGATGGCAGCAATGCTCTGAATTACAAGGTGGTGGGGAGTGTGTTTTGGCCGGTGACAATCCAGCTCTGAACCCTCACTTTTGGTTTTAAAAAATGACTTTACCATATTAATTACGTTATATATATTACTGGGAGACTTTTTACTCTTGATATAATTGTCAGAGAGTGAGATGCCAAATTTTTCCAGGTGAAACATATTAACAGGCTGGTAGGTCACCAGCACATTTTTATTATGAGGAGGATATGTTCGTTCAATAGAACAACTTGCCCAATTGTTTTTTACAGGTAGGAAAAAATTGTTAAAGGCAATCCACTCATAGTTCATCCGGATTGTAATCTACACAGTGATTAGAATAGGGCATTTGAACTTCCCACATTTGTGGTGACAGGGAAATTTTGACTTTTTGTGGGTTGATAGCTTTAGAAGTTTGTAGTGATTCTATTAAAATCTCTGTCATATCAGCAACATTAATTGCAATGGGTGGTTGTTATACTGGCGTGGCATGTTAATAAGGAATTTTCCATCAAATTGCTACTGTGACTGCAAAGATCTTTCCATGGGTATTGCCTGGTCTCAGAGCCTGACCAAGGCCCTTAGGACAGTGTGGACACTGGTGCAGACTGCAGTCATGCAGACTTGGCATCATAAAATTGTTTCAAAGTGCCATTGCTCCAAAATTCTCTTTTCTCCCATTTACGGCAGTGCAAGATATTGCAAGCAGGGGTCTGCGATGGGTCGGATTCAGATAGATTTGTCTGCAGGGACTGCAGTAGCTGCGAGGAAAGACAGCTTTTTGTTTCCTTTCTTTATTTGTAATCCTTTTTGCTTTCAGCAAAATTCAATGAAATGGCAAATGTGCTGATGAAATTCGGCTTTGCTATCCCCCTGTGAATCCAAGGGTAGTACTCTTACCCTTGAGTAAATCAGAGGAAATGGGAGAAGGATTTAGCTAAAACATCTAAGCAAGCTTAAAACTTCTACAAAAGTAGATCTGGCAGGTACTTGGATAATTTTTGTGCAAGAAACTACAGAGGCCAAAATTTAGCTACTTCTCAGTAAGATGATAGGCAGGTATGACTATAGATTCAGAGTTTGATGTTCTTTTTAAATCCTGCTTCAGCCTCCTAATTCCTTTGTGGATGTGGCAAACACTATCATGTGTAGATTCGTCTGTGCAGGTTTTGAGTTCTTTTTTTTTTGTATTTTTTGCTTTTGCTTAATTTTTAATTTAACTTTTCTCATCATTGTGCATCATAAAATGAAATTGTATTTGAAATCTGGATCTGGCAGCAGTTCTTTCCTCCCAAGATTCTTGTACTTTGGGATTCATCCCCAGTGAAGGTCCAGAAGGAAGGGATTTCCATGAGGTCTTCTGGCAGCTGAGCTTCAAATTGGCATGTCAGGAAAGAAATATAAAATTTGGTTTGGCTCAAAAGCATCATGATGAGAGGATTTTTATGAAATTTTGCAGCAGTGCTTTGCGGCCAGCCCCACTACTGGGATATTTTTTTGGGGGGCTTTTGAAAGCAACAACTGAATCCAACAGGATAATATACACAATGAATTTAAACAATTACAGAAAGTGCTTTATTTTCAGCAAACTGTATTGTCTTTGATTGTCTGTAGTCTCTGCTGTCCTGTCTGTATCCATCTCTTAAAATGTAATGCAGTTTCTAAAGATCCCGTAGAAATGAAATACAAAATTGAAATAGCAAGTACATGCAGCTAAGCAAAAAATTCTTTAGTAACAATAACTTGAGAAGCAGGTGTGGAATATAGAACAGACTGTCTGCAAAAGCATATGCAAGTACATTTTTCTCAGATGTCAAAACCTGAAAAGTTGACTTGGGAACTAAACCTTGGGGTGAGGAAGCCACTGTGAGGGCAAGGTGCAACTGAGGTCCCATCATGATGCAGCGTGAGGTGCCTGCAGTATCGGTCAACCCTCCTAGGTCTTTAAAAACAAAATGAGCAATGGCATAAATCCATAATGGCCGAGAGTATTTTAAATCTTCCAGGTAAAGTAAAACAGGCTTATTAACCTTTTTATTGTTGTTTAATAAAGAGATCTGAAAATCTTTCGTTAGTGCATCATTTGTTACACTATCTGTATATGTCAATTCAGACATTTAATAAGAAAATATTATAGTGTAATTTTTATTGTATAATACTCTTTCAATACAATATGACATAGAATATTTTCTAAACAACCAGCTCCAATAATAATCTGCAAACCTACTTTGCCACCATGAAAAGATTTTGAGATCTTTTTTGAGATCTTGAGATCAGGCTCAAAAGCTTTTGAGTAATTTCTCAATTTCTCTTACTAATTAGCATGTTCAAAATCTCTTCATCCTTGTGAAACTATACATTCGTAAGATTGTCTACAAAATACAGGCACAGAAAAAAAAAGCTTCTTTGAAAGTTTCAGATTGGATCCATTTTTGCTGACATCTATGGGCAAGCCACTAACATAAAAATCTTTGAAGTTTATGTTCCAAAGCCAATACTTAAAGTGGTTTCTTCTGTTTCTTGCAGTGGTGTTTGATGACTGCCAGGGGAATAGCAAATTGAACTTCGAGGTTTCTAACCCAGACTTCAAGGTGGAAGGAGATGGATCTTTATTTGCGCTCAAGAACGTGTCGGACGCCGGCAGAGCCCTGTTTGTGCACGCGCGGACTGAACACGCCGAGGACATGGCAGAAATTTTGGTTGTTGGAGCAGATGAAAAGCGTGCTGCATTAAAGGTAAGGGAGGTAGAAGGGACTAGGAGAAAGCACCGAGATGCTGCTATGGGGCTGTGTGTCAGCTAGGACCGTAACTGGCGTTAGTTTCTTTCTGGGAACAAAAATCAGGCATTAAAAGGTGTAATATGTCTTCAGGTGCAAATGCTGAATATTCACAAAGAACCGATGCAAACAAAAGAGCCTGAGGACCCAAATCGTCTGATCCTACCTGTGTACGTTATTCCAGATAACCACCTCTTGGCCATTATTGAAAATTGCAAAGTCTTACTTTAAATACTGTTTCCCACTTTATTATTTTCCAAACCTTTATGTTTGGGCTAAGTCTAGGAGGAATGTGGGAATGTTTTTGAGGCTGTGGAGCGTAAATATTTATATAGATGTGTTTATATGGTGCCATTAGCTATCAAAGTACACAAACATCTGCAGGCAGATAATGACCCATATTTGCAGGCGGTTGGTCTGTTGGTCTCTCTGCTGCAGTGATTTTCTGTTCTTCTCTGCCCCCTGAAAGCTATGTCCTTTCTTTTCAACTTCAGAATTACAGTGTAATGCTAACCTCGTAGTATGGGGAAAAGTGCTTCACAAATAGATTGAAATGTTTACTTCACACCCATGAGAGCAACAAAAGGAAACCTGAGATAGCTTCATTTCTGTGCTATGGCATTTAGGAAGGAGGCAGGCAAGACAGTGACTTACTAGACAATTAAACCTGCTACATTTACAGACCTATAATTTCAAGGAAGTAGAAAGAAACTGTAATGAAAATGACTGATCTATTGTCTTATTTGGGTATTTAGACTTTCAGCTGGCAGTCCTGTCATTGTATTTTCAACAATAGCTTAGTGTAACTTAAGTCGTCCATTAAAGAATTCTAGCTGCAGAGGAAGGATTGAACAAACTTCTCAAAGCCTGTGGTGGAGGAAGGGTTTTGATCTGCACTTCAAGCAGCACAAGATGTGAATATAGATTGCCAGCGGGGAAGAATTATCAGAATGTGTGACTGTGCAGAGAGCAGATCAGAACGCTTAGATGGAATTTAATTTTATTTAAATATGCCATTTCTTCACAAAGTTCAATTTTAGCAAAGTCATACTTGAGAGAGTCTCTTACACTGTGGAGAGGTGGATTTGGGACCACGCTCTGCCAAATGCAGAGCAGGAAGGAGCAGGGCGCTTGGCTCTCCCATGGCTCCGGCTCGCGAGACGCCTTCCCTTGGGTGTGTTCACAAGAAGATTCAGATTATTTTGTTTTCTGTCTAGGTTTCAAAAGCTTAAGCACTTGGAAAACGGAATTCATCTTCCCCAGTTAGGAACTACTGAAATTATGGAAGGGTTTGGGATGTCACTGACAGCAGATGTGGAGTTTCTCTGTGGCGATCTGATTCTTGTTTTTATGCTCGTTTTCTTAGAAAAGCGGTCCTTCCCATCCCATCTTGAATGGGGATAATCTGGAAGAGAACTTAAACTTCTCAGTAGGAATTAACAGATATGTCTTTGCACTGGCTACCTAGCTTATCAGTGAGCTTTCCTCTTCACCTCATGTTCAGGTTCTGGGTAGCTCCTCCTTAAAATATTGCAACAAATAATTAATGCCTGGTGTTGAGTGGTATCACCAGACTCCCTTCATGATCTTCCATGTATGTAGTGCCACTGGGCCTGGTGCGTTACTGTGTGCTGGGCCCCTTCTTCAGGAGAACGTTGAAGATCCTTAAGGTCCTTCCCCACCCAGGCTGCCGTCAATGCCCCGTAGCTGTTAAAGGGGTTCACCATCCATTTCAGCTACTGTTTGCCTATTTTAAACATAACAGAGAGTTCTGTCTCTGTCTTAGAAGGATAGAAAGATTACAGTGTCCTATCTGAAGTTATTTTGTGATAACTTTGAACTTAATCCTTACTTTTACAGTCCGGAAGTGCCAGCATGGAAATAGCAAAACTGCTCCATCTGTTTATGCAAGGAATCTTGACTAGGAAACACTCAGATGGAGCCTTAGTATTTCCGTGTAATTCTGCAGGGTGAAGATGGGCACGCGCTGGAACACTGCTTAGCAGTCAGGGCTTAGAGTACGGTACCCTGTGTAATTAGGGGATAATAAGGAGTTCTTAACTATTTCCCTATTGCCAGCAACTACCATTTCTTTTCTGAAAGTCTGTAACCTACATCTGTGAAATCCTATTGTTAATGTGTCTAATTGCAGTTTCCCAGCGTGTTTGGAAGTGACTGACAACAACAGTCTCTAATGCTGACTGACAGCCTGGATAACCTCATCTGTGAGCCTGGGGAGACATAGCACAATTCCTGAAATTTTAAAGGGTGACTGCTCCCAACTGTATTTTAGATAGACACTGGAGTGTGCAGGATGGTTTTGGTGCTCTAGTGGTTGAGGGACTTGCTTCTTTACCGGTGAAGATGCAGGAGGATTCCAGCTGGTCTCACTGATGAGGTTGAAGTGGCCACTTGAATTGCCTTCATGGCCACAAGGTCAGTGGCTGCTGGAATAGCACATTTGTGTTTGATTCTGCTCCTGGAGTGCAGCGCACACGTGTTCGCGCTCTGGCCAGAGACACGTGGGCAATGCAGAGCCCATGGTAGAGTGGCCTTGACTGGGATGTGTGAAGGTGGATTTTTAGCATCATCAGCCACCGCGTCCATTGCGGTCTGGCTGCAGAACTGGGGTTGGTGACAGAAAAGCAGATATCTCACTGCTGCTTTTTCCATGTTTAAAGGGTGACTGCTCCCAACTGTATTTCAGATAGACACTGGAAATGCTCAGAAGTGAAATCTGGAGTGGTGCAGTTGGATTCTCTGGCCAACTGAACACTGCTTAACTCGGAGGAGGAAAGGGACTTGCCCTGCATTCATTGCTTATCTTTGCAGGAGTAGTAGGAAAACCAGAAGTTGGAAATTTTCAACATATCTGAGTATTTTAGGAGTCTGATGTTGTAGAAGGAAGTAAAACCAAGCTTTGGTAGTGCCTCATAATAGTTTGTGATGTGCAAAATGCAGCAAGTGAGCTGGGAATTGGAGCTGTGTCCTCCAAGGCTAAACAAAATTATTGTTGGCCCTTCTCCCCTTCTGTAATCTAGTGGTGGTTTTAATAACTATACTGTCAGTACACGGGGAACTAAATGAAAAAAGTAGAGAACAATCTTTCTCTGCAGACAGGGTTTTTTTGTGCATTGGCAAATCTAGCCCTTTCCCCCCTCCTTCCCAGCAAAGAGAGTTATTTAGACCTTTATTTGCCGCAGCATCACAGACACGGAGGACAGGAGGGAGAAGAGAGGCAGATAGCAGGAGCCTGGCACCAAGGCACATAAGAGGGCAGGCAGATATTGAGTAGTGCCCAGCTGGCAGCGACCTCTCCGCGTGGTGCTCAGCAGCCTTCCGTCCAGGAGGATGAAATGATTAAACAGGAGCTGTCAAACCCTCAGGACACTTTTCAGGCACTAGATGGAAAAGGAAAAGGAGGAAGAAAAGAAGAGATAAGAGGGAGGAGCACGCCCTGACACAGCGTGTTGTGGACACAGAAAGTTTAAAATTGTCTCCAGCAATAACTCGAACTGGGGGAAATGACATTGCTGCCATTCTGCTATTCCGGCCAGTCCAATCTCATTACCTTGGAGACAAGAGCAGCAATCTGGTCCGGACTGTCCCTAGATTCTTATCAGCCCAAATTCCCTTTTCTGTCAAGTTGCTGCCCTGCTGGGGACAGCTGTGCACATCATTTCCAATCTGCAAAGTATCTAAAGTATCAAACAAATAATGAAAGTAAGCTCCTTGGATTTAAATGTTATATTTCTTGTTTGCGATTTGCTCTGCTTTATCCCTGCAGTATATAGGTTGCAAATGTTATCGATATAAGATAAAAACTGCCTAGAGCCTTAAATCCCACAAGCATAGCTTTCTGCTTTAGAATAGATGATAAAGGATCAATAATCTTGTAATAAATCAGAGTTCTCTCGCAGAAAAAATATTCATGGAGTGAAGTGAATGGTTAAGTTTAGATATCTGGCAGTTCAATAATTTATTTGGAAAATAAGATCAAGAATCAGCCTCTCTGATATAACAAACAATCACTTCCATTAATGTAAATTAGCATTTCTCAATGTATCAGTTTGGAATAGAGTTCCAAATGGATTGAAAATGACTGTACAGGAGTCTGAAGATGGACTCTCAGATGAGATATTGGCAAACAGGCTAGAAGAGTTTCATGTTATTACATTTCGCATACACCAGATGCTGCAAAAAAGGGAATGTACTGCATAAATAAAAGACCATGTTTTGCATTTAATTTTAAGGTATAAAATAGAGTAAGTCACACGGGTGCATCAATATATGTAATGCAGTTATTATGAGTTATTATACTGATCAAAACAGTATGTACAATACCACTTCTTTCAGAAAAGCTGTAGAGATATTTTCCCTTTGAACATGAGGGTGTCCTTTAGGCATATAAATATAGGTTTTCTTATAGTGCAAACAAAAATTAGGTTTTGCACTCTTGCGCTCAATTTGTCAGAAAACTTAAACAGAATAACTTTTCCCTATTATCCATGAAATAACATACTTGTTACTTCTCTTCCTTGGGTTCTTCATGATACATATTGGCTTGGACTTTGTGCATAAAGAAAAAGCTGAAGTATGAGTGTTTTTAGAATTTGATACCTTTGTGCTGATGGTATTTCATTAAATGGCTTTCCCTGGTTTTAATCATCAGTGCAGGGCTGCAAG